CCGCGGTCCCTGCCAGCAGCTCGCCCGGGCAATGCCACACCTGAGCGTTGGCAAAAGCAGAGCTGTTGGTGGCACACGCTGCCATGACCTCACGCCGCGCTGCCGTGACTTCATCCCGCGCTGCCGTGCCGGAAAGCGCCCTGGATTGCAAGGCGGTGAAAATGGTCCCGCTTTGCTGCTTGTTTCTTTCCCCCCCTTCTTCTTTGCAAACAAACACTGCGAGCGGGCAGCTTCTGTTTTCGAGAGCAGACGTGTAACCTTTCGAAGCCTCAGCTTCTTCCCGAACCGTGCGTGTCGTCACTCCTGCAACCTTCTGTTCAGCGGGAGTGTGAACGCAGCCCTCCGGGGATGTGCGAGCGAGAGGGGGTGACTTGAATTTTTTCTCCTTTCCTTCCAAACTCTCCTTCTGCCCGTGCTTAGGGTGCCTTTCTGGAGCAGTCTAAGGCTTCGGCAACCTGCAACACATGGGGGTTTGGGTGCTGGGGTCGATATGTGCTGAGCAGGGGCCATACACAGTGCGGCATGTCAGTGGCAGCACAGGTCTCCCATGGACCTCACCAGGTGTCGCATACCTATAGAAGAACATATGCATCTGGCCCCAGGCTGGCTCCTCTCCCCTGTCTTCGAGGGGAGGGCCTAACCCAGCGTGCTTATTGGCCACGAGCATTTATAGAGAAAAAATTAAACTCCGAACAGTTCTCCCTTTGCTGAGCCTTTACCAAGAGGGAATCATCCTTCTAACCTTCCTGCGGGGCTGGCGAAAGGTCATGCCTGAAATTTTTCTGGAGAAAAAGAAAAGGAAAAGGAGGGTGGTGGCGCAGGGGAGGACGAATGTGGAAAACAGAGCGTTTTGAATGACTCCCAAAGGCGGGCGGCATGGTCTGAGCTGGCTGCCCCATCGCCCTGCGCCCTGATGCCGCGTTTGCTCTGGCGACCTCCGAGCGCAGCGGCAGTGATGCACCGGCGTGGAGCAGAGGCCTCCCCTCCTACGGGGGCAGGGCTGATTGGAAGAGAGAGCGGGTGCCGGGCTGCCAGGGGCTTTGCTATTGCAGAGCCCTCGGGGAGGTACAGTCGCAGGGTTTTGTGTGCCAGCATTGCACCCGCGGGGCTGCGTTGTGCGTGCAAATTTTTGTTTGTTTGTTTGCATTGCACAGGAGGGGCTGCAATGCACATGCATGTTTGCATTGCACAGGCACGTTCGCATTGTACATGCATGTTTGCATTGCACATGCAGAGCTGCATTGCACAGGAGAGGCTGCCTTGCACATGCATGTTTGCATTGCACATGCAGGGCTGCATTGCACAGGAGCGGCTACCTTGCACGTGCATGTTTGCATTGCACGTATGGGGCTACTTTTCACGTTTGGGATTGCATTGCATGCACAAAAACTCCCACGCATTGCACTGTCGCCCGAGGCGCTTTGGGTGGGCACCCAGATGGTGTACCCACTGAGGAAATTGGTCAGCACCTTGAAAGTCAGGGCCCTTAAATCTTAACCAGGGCCAAATACTTGAATGCGTGCTTTATCTGGGGGATCGCAGGTCATGCATGGGGCCAGCGTGGACCATTTTGTGCATTCCCATGGGCCAGCTGGGAGGTGGGGGCTTGGCAGAGTGCAGCACAATGAACACAGTTAGGCATCGCGCCTCCACGACTCGCTCTCAATTTTTCCCATGCCCAAATTCTCCCAGCCGGGTTGTGGTCCTGGATCCTGTTTGTGGGTGCTGGCCTCTGCTCTCCTCCCTCAGAGCACCTTGTGCTGGGAAGCGGTGCTGAAGGCAGCGTGCAGAGCCCCTGCTGCAAACCCTGCAACAGTACAAGCACATAACGTGCCACCTGCAAAAGCGTGGCGAAAATCCTTTTGTTTCAGGCGAGTTTATGTTTTGGAAGTTGCAGTTCCCAAGCAAATTTGTTTTTCCATCAGAAATTCAAATTTGCCCATCTTTTTTATTTCAAGATGGGGGAGGAAAACGAGGAAAACTGATGTAAGCATTTCCTCTGGAGCGCTTTGGCAGTCATTAAGCAGTGACACGAAATGCCCTCGGTTGTTGCTGCACCGGCCACGGGCTTTTGCATCCTTCTGCAGGCAGAAACGGGAGAGGAACCCTTATTAAAAGATTAAGCTTAATAGCTATTCTTGGCGGGTGCGGGAGCCTGTATTCTTTCTGCAGCTGTCTCAGAGCTGTCCCATCTGGTAAAATTTAGCTGCCTTGGTTTGCTTCACCTGCCGGAGCGTCGCCCCGACGGAGGGAGGTTGGCAGCCGCAGTGCTGCGCTGCTTCTTTCTAATAAAACTTGCTTGCCAGGATCAACATCGGAGATGGTCGCAGTAATCGGCACGGTGCTGGCGGCTGGGCTGGCCTCGGGCTCCCTCGCTTTGGCTGCGCCCAAAAAGGCCGCCCGTGCCGGAGGTATAGGAGGGGAATAAATCACTGCCGTATAAAGTGGCTTTAATTAGCGCCGCGCGCGCGCAGGGAGCCCTGTTGACATCAACGGCGTTTGTCTGGGAAAACCTTAATGTGAAACTCAGCTGGTTTGTGGGCGTGTGTCGGCTTGTTTGGGAGAAGTGCTGCTGTTTTTGAAGTGTGTGGAACCCTCCTGTCTCCGGTGGAGGGGTACCTGCAAGGGGATGAGTGCCGTGGAGCGGGGAAGAGGGTCTGATCTGCACTGGTGGCTAACACCAGGATCTCTGCCATTGCAGGTAGACCGGTGGGACGAAATAACCGGCGGATCAACCGGGGGATCGTGGAGGAATGCTGCTTTCGGAGCTGCGACCTGGCTCTGCTGGAAACCTACTGCGCCAAGTCCGTCAAGTCGGAGCGCGACCTCTCCGCCACCTCCCTGGCAGGGCTGCCGGCTCTCGGCAAGGTACGGGGCTGCGCCGGGACAGCGGCCCTTCTCCCAAGTAAATAGCAGGAGAAAAGATGAGGATGCCATGGGTGGGAGAGGGCGAACCCCAGCCGCAAGGTCTGCTGCTTCTGCGGAGCCTTTTGGAGATGGCCACCATTGGCAAATGGTACCAAACACCCTGCAGAAAGTCAGCTCTTAATAAGGTGAGGGACCAGAGGTGGGCTAGAGTGTAGAATCATAGTATGGTTCAGGTTGGAAGGGACCTTAAAAGGTCATCTAGTCCAATCCCCCAGTCATGAGCAGGGACATCGTCAACTATATCAGGTTGCTCAGAGCCCCTTCCAACCCAGCCTTGAATGTTTCCAGGGATGGAGCGATGTTTCCATGGGATGGATGGAGCTCAGAGAGGGAAACCCCCGTCCGGAGGGCAGGCAGGCTCGCGGCGAGGCTGACGTTGCTATCCTGTCCCCTTGCAGGAGAGCTTCCAGAAGCCCTCGCACGCCAAGTACTCCAAGTATGATGTGTGGCAGAAGAAGAGCTCCCAACGGCTGCAGCGGGAGGTGCCTGGCATCCTGCGGGCTCGCCAGTACCGGTGGCAGGCG